ATTTTGATCATAACCAATAAAAACATACCTCTCACTTTTGTCATCGAGCTTGGTCCTCTTTTCATCATGTATATGTGCATATGCAATGCTTCCGAAAACTCGCAAGTGAGAAACTTTTGGCTTGAAACCACTCCATGCCTCTTGAGGTGTTTTTCCATGAACACGTTTTGTGTGGCAACGATTTAGTAAGTATACCGCACAAGCAACAGCTTCAGCCCAAAATTCCTTTGGCATATTTTTGCTCTTCAACATACTCCTCACCATGTTAAGAATGGTCCGGTTCTTTCTTTCCACAACGCCATTTTGTTGTGGTGATCTTGGCACGGTTAAAAAATGGCGAACTCCATTTTTCTCACAAAAAACTTTGAATTCATTTGAAGTGAATTCTCCACCATTGTCCGACCGAAGTGACTTAATTTGATAGCCACTTTGTTTCTCCACCATCCTCTTGAATTTTTTAAAGGTTTCAAACACCTCTGATTTTGCCTTTAAAAAATAAACCCAAGTTTTTGTAGAATAATCATCAATGAAAAGTAAAAAATAATTACTTTTACCAAGTGAAGATGGCTTGATAGGTCCGCAAACATCCATGTGAATTAACTCCAAAGGGCATCTTGCTCTTGTCAAAGACTCTTTAGGAAAGCTTTTTCTAGCTTGCTTTCCAAAGATACATCCTTCGCAAAATTGGTTGGGATGATTAATACTTGGCAATCCATTCACCATGTTTTCTTTATCCATCAACCTTAAGCTATCAAAATTCAAGTGACCAAATCTCATATGCCAAAGCCAAGAGGAGTCTTTGGCACATGAAAGTAAGCATCTTGGAGCATCATTTTGAAGATTTAAAATGAACATTTTATTATTAGCCATAGGAACTTTAGCTAATAATCTCCCTTTTTCATCTCTCATAAACAACTTTTTATCTTTCAAATGAATGTCATAATTTTCCTCCAAAAGTTGTCCCAAACTCAAAATGTTACTTTTCATCTCCGGCACATATAAAACATTAGAAATTAATTGATGACTTCCATCCTTCAAGCGAATTAAAATCGTACCTTTTCCTTTGATTTTAACACGTGAAGAATCTCCAAAGGTGATTGTGCCACGATTCAACTCTTCAAGTTCCACAAATAAATCCTTCTTTCCACAAATATGGCTACTTGCACCGGAATCAAGGTACCATCGGTGCTTCTCGGCACTTTCTTCTCCTTTGCATGCGAGAAGCAAGGTGGCATCTTCATCTTCATTTTTGCTCTCCACGAAATTATTTTTCTCTTCAAAGTTATCTTTACATTCCCAAGAAAAGTGACCAAATTTATGACAAGTATAACATTCAATATTTGATTTGTCATACCTTCCTTGATTTTGCCTCCATCCTTTCCCTCTTCCACGACCTCTTCTTGAATTAAAGTTTTGGCCTTTATTTTCTCTACTTGAAGGTGGTTGACTACCTCCTCTTCCGCCTCTACCACGACCTCTTCCATTTCCACGGCCTCTTTGTTGCGAGCCACGCCTTTCATCTTTCTCTTTGAAAGAAAATTTTGCTTGCAACACAGAGTGCAGGCATGGTACTCCCTATGATGAAGGAACCTTCTTCAGCACCAACTCTGGCTGCTTCTGCTAAGGCAGAAGATGCTAGTGAGCAAGCTCAAGAATCAGAAGTAAGTAGAAGGGCTAAGGATAGAGAAAGCACATCTTACAATCCCTCTAATGAGCTCGGCAGACAAACCTCTAGTTTTGCTTCAAATCATGCCTTCCCTGGGAGGGAGGAAAGTGGGGCAAATTCTGGTGGTCTGGGAAGGGATGAGTTTGAGGTGAAGAATATCTATGGTGGTCAGAAAATGTACTCAAGACCATACTTGCAAAGTTCAGCTGATACAGAGGACAAGGTGCAGAAAGTATCTCCACCTCGGAGGAAAGTTTCCAGAGATGAGAAACCTGAAAAGCCAGAAAGGCCAGGAAATGGGTCAAGAAAAAGATTTTTCAAGCTCAGAATCAACGTCATGTTACAAACAACAAAAAAGTACAAGTATCTCTAACATAAAAAGTATAGGAACACGACAAAGTGAACTTAGTTCACCCCCTCGTGATGATAATATCAATGAGATACTGGAGGTTGTTTTACAGTCTGCCTTTGCTTTTGTTTTTTATTTATTTATTTATTTATTTTGTCTTGAACAACTGCTCTGAAATTTTCTTTCTTTCCGTGTGAAGGAAGAAGAGGCTCTGATAGCTGCCCATAGAAAAGAAATTGAAGATACAATGGAGATCGTTCACGAAGTAAACAACATACCCTATTATACTTGTTGAACTAACTTTCTTACCTTTACCTCCTTCCAAAACCTAGGAGGTGCGTTGCCAGGAAATTTCCTCAATTTATGTAACATGCATAGCAGTTTGCCAAATGCCAACTGCGTATTATTTTCCCGAATCATCTTAATTTGTGAATCTCTTTTGGTAATTCCCTTAGATGCAATACCCATTCAGCTAAGAGTTTTGATGCTTTTATCTGTGAAACAACACACCCATGTCTATATGGATTCCGTGCTTGCTTGAAATGTTAAAATCCTTTCTTGCCCATTTTTTCTTAGTCTTACTACAAACTTCCCATGTTTTGTGCTATGCTTTATTTTCATATAAAGAAGATGGTAGTAGGAAAATTCGTCACTATTAGTTCTCCTTGTTCGTTCTACTTGTCGCAAATAGAAATTCAGAGATTCTTTAACATTGATCTTGAATGTCCATATTTCAAACTCTCGTCCATCTTTACTTTTTTTTTTCTCTCTTTGTCTAGTGGTGATATTTTCAGAGGAGATAGTTATACTTTATGAATGTTCTATTATGCCCTCCTGAGTTGCCTATTAACAAAACCAATCAAAAAAAGAAAATGTTTAGACCTGGGAAAGCAAAAACAGAGACTGTTATCAATGTGCTTGAGATGATTAACGTATTTTACCTTTTGTTATAGGAAATGAAACTGTTAGCTGAAGTTGATCAACCTGGTAGTCTTTATGTGACACAACTGAGCTTTATGCTATCTCGCAAAGCAGCAATTCTGGTCAGCTTCCAGGCGCGCCTTGCCAGGTTCCAGCATCGACTGAAAGAGCAGGAAATACTCAGTAGAAAGAGGATACCACGCTAGGCAACAAGCTCATGGCTACAATCAGAGTGGCAACATTTTCTACCTTGTTTTTACTTGTCCCTTTTGTGATACTTTCAAGATATATCTTATTCCTCTCTTGCCCAAATTGTGCACATAAACCATCAAGCAAAAGTTTTATAGAGCGGTGGTTAGACCGGCCATGTTGTATGGGGCTGAGTGTTGGCCAGTTAAGAACTCGCATATCCAGAAGATGAAAGTAGCAGAAATGAGGATGTTCAGGTGGATGTGCGGGCACACTAGGATGGATAAGATTAGGAATGAAGATATTCGGGAGAAGGTGGGTGTGGCTCCCATTGATAACAAGATGCGGGAAGCGAGGCTCGGATGGTTCGGGCACATACAGAAGAGAAGCTTGGATGTCCCGGTAAGGAGTTGCGAGTGGTTGGCGTTGGTTGGTACGAGGAGAGGTAGAGGGTGGCTTAAGAAGTATTGGGGAGAGGTGATCAGGCGGGATATAGCGAGGCTTCAGATCTCCAAGGACATGGCACTCGATAGGAAGCTGTGGAGGTCGAGCATTAAGGTTGTAGGTTAGGAGGTGTTTGAGCATATTTAGTCTACCAGTGTGAGGCTAGGCTTATAGTATTTAGTCTTGGATTGCTAGTGGTCAATGTTGTGTTTACACTACTTTCCGTTTTCATAGTGTCGGGCCTTATTTACTGGTTATTATTTCTGCTTTCCATCTATTTACGGGTTCTTGTGATGTTGTTATTATTTCTATGATTTTTTGTTGATGGTACTGATATATTGTTTTTTTTTTTCTTCTTCTTGAGCCGAGGGTCTATCGAAACAGCCTCTCTACCCATCGGGGTAGAGGTAAGGTCTGCGTACACACTACCCTCCCCAGACCCCACTTGTGGGATTTATAAGGGCCGTGGTTGTTGTTGTTGTAAACCATCAAGCAGAAGTATCAATGAGCAGGTTCACCATCAAGCAGAAGTATCATTGAGCAAGTTCACTTAAAGAGAAAAGGTTGATGGCCTCTTCTGAACTTGCACTAACAAAACAGATATTTTAACATGGCTTTGGTATCATGTTGCTCCTGTTGCGGGTTAAGGAGGCTTTTTTTATTCTCTGGCAGTCTCGCGAAGGAGCGATTTTGAGTTGTAAACTGGTTGCGGTCAGACATATGCCACTGTAAATTATCAAGAATGTATTATTCCAACTTGTGCTATATTGCCCAAAGTTTTAGTGGTTTTGTGGGATATTAGATGTTTATTGCAACTGGAAAAGAAAGCTTGAAATGTTTCTTACAATGGAATTGAAATACTTAGTGTATAAAACAGCTGTGATTAATATCTACTCTGAGCTTAGGATTTCCATACTGTTTGTTCTCTCTTGAGTTTTGACTTTCGACAGATCCAATTTCATTTCACATTATTGTATGCTTATGTTGTGCGGACTCTCCTAAACTGCTGCCTCTACTTTTGGAAGATCCGACACGCATGCACCGACACTTTCATAGTGTTCGAGTAACATAGGTGGCAGGTTGGTGTGGTGATTCATCAACCCACTCGCCGCAAATATTGAAGTCTCTCAATTATTCCTAGCGAAGAGAATATAATTAATTGAAAAAACTGAAGAACGGGAATCTTTGCATTCGTGAGGAAAGAAAATACATTAATGCTGTAACCTTTACAAATACAAATAAAAAGTAATAAAAAAAATTGTATGCTTTCTAAGCATAAAAATCTCTGAAAGGCCAAACACCTCCTAGAATGTACACCCGCCTACTGTGACTCTGGAATGAGAAAGCCTAACCAAGAAGGCAAGCTTGCTAGTTCCGGCCCTTGGCATAGTTACAGGCTAACCGGAAACATAAACTGAATAAGCACAACTGTAGACACCAAACTTAAGTGCCAAGTAAAAAATTAACACCAGTTGATTTCAGATGACAAGAATTTTTTGTCACAGAAAATACAATGCAAACCAAACGCGTGCTGGACATGCCTATACATACCTAAATAACAGAAGATCATACAAATGAAATCCTGAAAGTTCATTTCTTTGATGAAAATAGATAGAATCTCGTGATTACAACTTCTGAGATTTCTCCAAAAGAAAGTTGATTTCAGGTACTATATGTGAGAAATGTAAAGACCTACACAAAAAGGAAAAGGGAAAAAAAACCTAAAGCACTTTCAACCTCAACCTACAAAATCACGCCTTCATCAGACAGTAACTAGCTGGATCTTAAACTACCATATAGACAAATCAGACAAGGCCTTCAAGGAATTGTTAGCAATGCATCAATCATTCCAACGAACTACGTAGTCATCCTTTGCTGACATAGGATATTTAACACTGCAGCAAAGAGTCTTTTTACTCTGCTTTCAACCTTAAGATCTCCTTGGCAGTCCTTGACCTAAAATACGGCATATGTTCCTACAAGAAAAGGACAAGATTGTTTACAGTTTCAACATGCATGTTTTCTGGCAGAAAATGTGTCAGAATAGCTAGTATATCACCACCACCACCACCCCAAGGCCCCCAGGTATCTCTTTTTTGTTGTTGTTGAGAAAGGTATCAATTCCAGGTCCCCAGATATCTTTAAAACAATATTAGAAAAACAAAGATACCAGATTCCAAAAGGGAGAAAAACTTCTATCACGTAGAACATGGAGCAAAGTAGGAAAACTATGCTTCCAAAAACTACAACATCCCAACTGCTTGTTGCGAAGACAACTACGACATCCCAACTGCTTGTTGCAAAGACTTGCCAGGAAAGAATTACAGACCCCTTCATCCGAGTGGTAGAGATGGAATTCTTTATAACCCAAAAGAAGTACTAACATGTAGGAAGGAATAGGCAAGCTACGGAGTTGTTCATGGCCAAGAAATGTGTAAACTTCAAAAACATGGAAACGAACATAGAAGGTTTTCAGGGGGGATAAAAGAGATAGAGAAGAGATGCAGTGAACACAGTTCCTGGAGAGATTTTTGCATTCTAACGCAGATAGCACAGGAAGATCAAAAGTCACATTTTCTGTATCATGAAACCCTAAGTGGCAACTTTTAGTATAACAACCCCCAATACACACACACACATAATGTGTTTGTTTTTTTTTCTTGTGTGTGTGTGTATACATAATGACAATATTATATTCCCTTCCTACTTAGAAACCGGTTGGCCTGGTCACTTTTCATAATTTCATCCAAAGCTGCCATGAGTTTTGCAGCACATCAGTTTACCTGACTAAAACGGAGTCCTATATCTCTGCTGTAGAAATCAGCATATTTGATCATGAACATACCGCAGTCAAACCTGTTCATAGTGCAGTTTTTATCAGTATGATCAGAAAACAAACTTAATGAACAGAAATCAGTAATAAATTAAGCACTGATAGAAATCCAAAGTTGATTCATATTTCTGGTAACCCGAACCAGCTGAAAAATGGTTTGGCAAAACCATGGAAATAAAATTTAGAGTCAGTTAATTCGACCTTCACGCTAGTTTAACAAAACTTAATACATCTACCCCTCTAGTTTGATGTTTCATTAGATCCCTTCTCTTTCCGTTAGCCTCTGCTATTAGAACATTAAAAGCACAGAAATTTAAGTTCTCATCCATTTGCCCTCTAACAGTAGAGTATTTAACAAAAAACATAGAGCTATATTAGAGAGAGAGAGAGAAAGTTTCATGGCCACGCTCGTTCCCCTTCGAGCGTAGCCTCTCCCTTCCCTAGCTTTGCTGATAGACACACATCAGAAAGAACACTCGTCGTCAGAGATATGGTTTATGTAAAGGCTAAATATACATCCCACAGCCCCATAGGCCTGCTCCTCTCCTTATTTTCCTTTTTCTTTTTGTTGGTGCATTAACATTTTTAAGGAGCATATTTTGGTCAAATTACTAACAATTTGACACCATCAACTTATCCATTAAGGAGGACGGTGTTAGTTAATTCTCAAACTGGAAAAGGGAGGTCCATCGAATATTGTTAAAGATGTCTAGGTAATTGAACCTAAAATTTAAATTCAGATACTTCGAAATATTTTCTGGTTGGTTGCAAAATTGTGCACAAGAAAAAGCAATCCAGTTAGCATAACGAGATTCAAAGAGGATTACTGCACAAAGCAGAACAGGGCAAGAAGCAACAATTTGTACTAGCAGCAAAGATATTGTGGTCATCTCAAACCACATCATGCCATAGAGATAAAAATTAACGGAACCACTGATTCTGAAGAAACACTTGGGTTAAGTCTGTATACTATTGACTGGGAACTGTCTGGAACATATAGAGCTAAGAAAGCATTATGTTCTACTTCAATAAATAAGGAACTGTTAATAAAATATAGGGCACAGGATAATGTGGTGTATCTGATCTATATGAAAAATAATGAGCAAATGAAGAAAATTTTATTTAAAGTCATGCACTCTAAAGTGCATCAAATCCACTAAAACTAATTACGCCAGAAGAACCACTAGTGTTATAGCATAGAACTTCTTATGTATACTTACACCAGAAAAGACATAAGACATTTCTCATCCAAGTGTCAAAGTGTGAAATACAGCTACTGCTACAAAGAAGCACCTTTGTAGCACAAACTATTCATACTTTGGACATGTTAAGTTTCATCTAAACCAGGCTTAAGGCAACTTAAAGCATTAGAAATAAAATCATTCTCCCCTAAATAACATGTTATTCTGTAGCATTAAAATGACCATCTTTACTTAGACGGGCATCATTGTGATGCTTACTTGGGATAAAGGAGTCGCAATGTATTAGCAGAATGAGATTTCATCCCCAAAAAAAAAATATTAGCAGAACGAGAACTATTCATGACTTTAAAAGAGACATCACAAATACGGCTACGGGCTATCAATAGGAAGTCTGCTCAATAGCATAAAAAATAAAACCAATCTGCCATATAACATGTTATTCTAATAGAAATACAAGGACCATCTTTACTTAAAGGCTGAACACTTTGATGGCCCCTTGAACTTGCCAAGAAATTATATTTAGACACTTCAACTAAAGGTGTGACCTAAAATGTGCATATTGAGCACGTAGTGCTGACATGGCATAGAGCTTGTTTTACACCCAAAATCGAGCGTGAGAACGGATGAGAAATTTCATGTTTCCACACAAATCAACCCCTCAACTCTCCCGCTGCAACTCCATCCTCCTACTACCACCGCACCACTTCCACAATATCATCCCCTGTCGGCTTCAAATGAGCCTCTATATAGGAACAAAAAATTATCACTACGGAAAATTTGACCGGAAATAGAAAAGAGTTATCTTGCCGGAAATATGGCCGAAACTCAATCTACATGCAAGATCCATAGATGATAAAACTGAGTGTGCACACTGCAAAGATAAAAGAACTTTTTGCAATTTTTGTCGGGTCAACATCTCATAGGTCTCAAGTCTGGGCTATAGAATTAAAACACCTGGCTCATCTATGTAGATAGAGAAAAGGGCCAATTGAAGTGCCGAAAGGAACTAAATTCAATTAGCTCAAAAGTTTATCATCTGCAGTTAATCTGTTCAAAGGAATCAGAATAGACTCCACCACCACGACCACAATTGTTATTGGCTTATTGCACTCAAAACACTGCTGCCCTCCAGGGCCAACAGATGTCCATAAAGGCCAAAAAATAAGTAGAACTAATGAAGAATTGTTGCCATCCACCATCACCGACCTCAGCACAGCTTCCTTCACACCACCACCACAAAATTGCGATCACCCATTTCGTCCAAACACACACAAAACCGTGCCCACCTCTGAGTACTCGCAATCTTTCACACCAACAAACGCAATAAAAGAATCAAAACAATCCTAAAGTTTCTCTTTGTAAAAGAGATTTCACCAGTGAGTTGAATTTTCCCGATCAAGTTCTTTTAACTTTCTTTCACTTAGTTTTCCTACCAACTTCCGATGGCCCTCCTCCCACGAAGCTTATGGTTTTCCAGAGACAAATGTGAAAAGGGAAAAAAGATTGAAGGATCAGAGAAGATGAGCAACTGGAGTGACTGGAGAGAGAGAAAGAGACTGGGAGAAGAAATTGACGGCGGGGTGGAACGAGAACAGAAGGGGATGGGGTAGAATGGGACTCAGTTGACAAATCATTCTTTTTTCCAACATGTCTATTTCATATCGGTTACATTTTTTATGTCAAATGTGTGAAACTCGTGGGTTTAAGTATTTTGGTTGACTGCCAAACATGTGTTCAATAAGCACATTTTCAACATATGTCAAGTGGCATACATTAGGGCGATTAAGGAAATGTACGATGGAGCCATGACCCGGGTAAGAACAGTGGGAGAAGACTCATAACACTTTTTAGTCTAATGGGGTTGCACCAGGAATCAGCTCATAGCCTAGCCCGTTTCTATTAGCCTTAGTGATGGATGAATTGACACGTCATATCCAAGGGGATGTGACATAGTGTATGCTATTCGGAGATGATATTGTACTGGTTGACGAGACTCACAGGGAGGTGGGAGACAAACCGTGGAGTCTAAAGGGTTTAGGTTGAGCAGGACTAAAACAGAATACTTCGAGTGCAAGTTCAGTATGTGAGGCTTGATACACGAGTTATCCCCAAGGGAGGAAGTTTCCAGTATCTTGGATCTACAATTCAAGGAAGTGAGGAGATTGACGATGATCTTACATATCGTACTAGAGCGGGTGGGTGAAATAGAGGCTCGCATCTAATGTCTTGTGTGACAAGAATGTGCCGCCAAGACTTAAAGGTAAGTTCTACAGAGTGGTTGTTAGACCAACAATGTTGTATGGGATGGAGTGTTGTCCAGTCAAGAACTCATCATATTCAGAAGATGAAAGTTGAAGAAATGAGGATGTTGAGATGGATGTGTGGGCATACTAGGAGAGATATGATTAGGAATGAAGATATCCGGGACAAAATGGTGGACAAGATAAAGGAGGCGAGACTGAGATGATTCGGGCATGTGAAAGAGGAGAAGCACAAATGCACCAGTGAGGAGGTGTGAGAGTTGACAATGGTGGGTCTATCGAGAGGTAGAGGTAGGCCGAAGTAAAGGGGAGAGGTGATTAGGCAGGACATGGTGCATCTTCAGCTCACTGAGGACATGACCTTAGATAGGAGGATATGGAGGATGCGAATTAGGGTACAAGGTTAGTAGGTAGTCGAGTGTTGTCTCGTTTTATAGTGGGAGAAGCTTGGTGCTAGTTTGGAGCTTATCATTTGCTTCTCCTTTCATACCAGTAGTATTAGTACTATTCTCGTATAGTCTTATTCTTCAATTACAATTACTATTCTCCTATTACTACCTATCGTTTCATATGCTTCGGTTATCTTATTATTATTTTTACTGCTTCTTTTTTTCAAATGTTTTGCTATGCTTTCCTTACTATTTTTCCACGCCTTCTTCACTACCAGTTTTCTTTTTCAAAATTGCTTTGAAATGTTTTCCTCAAGCCGAGGATCTATTGGAAACAACATCTTTATCTTTACAAGGTAGGGGTAAGTTCTGCGTATACACTACCCTCCCCAAACCCCACTTGTGGGATTACACTAGTATGTTATTGATATTGTTGGAGGGGAGCCTTGGCGTAATTAGTAAAGTTGTTCCATGTGACCAGGAGGTTACGGATTCGAGCCGTGGAAATAGCCTCTTGCAGAAATACAGGGTAAGGCTGCATACAATAGACCATTGTGGTCCGGCCCTTCCCCGGACCCCGCGCATAGAGGGAGCTTAGTGCACCGGGCTGCCCATTTTAAGTTGTTATTGTTTTCGGGTGTTCAATAGGTATCACCTTTAATTAAAGTCCAAACGAAACTTTTTGGCAAGTCTAAGGGGCCGCCTATGTATTTAGACGTCCTTAAACATAGATGATTAATATGCTTACATGGGATAAACGGTTCACAAAGTATTAGCAGAACGAGAACTATTCATGACTTTAAAAGAGACATAAAAGATACAACTACCAACAGAAAGTCAATTCAACAAGCAATTTTGACGAGGTCCCAGAAAAAGTGATCTCCTCAGGTACTTAAAGACAACTAGCCATAGAAAGGGAAACGCAAATTCAAGGTCAAACTACAAGAATACGATTTCTCATTTATATATTTAAATGAAAATATCTTTTAAGTTTTATGAAAATTCTTGAGCAAACTCCAACAAAGCCCAATTAGCTAATGAGGCTGCACTTCACATAGAAAGATTTGTGTCTTTTTTTGGATAAGCGCATAGGAATAATAATATATACAAATGAGGTTCCAACATGTGGGAACAAACTGTTAGACCAATAAGATTAAAGTACCATGCCTTTATCAATAAAAAGATTCAGGTATTACGCACCCATTCTTTTGCTCTGGGAGGTCCTCTACAAATTCTTGCTTCCACGAGCTAACATCAATATCTTTCTCATTCTTGTCCTTCACCTCGTCAATAAAGTACCTAGTCTGCACATTTAGTTTTCAGTTTCCGCAAATCAGGACATCCTTCTATTTAAAACAAAATCTCAATATACATGAGCAACAACAACAACAACAACAACCCCAGTAGTTTCCCACAAGTGGGGTCTTAGGAGGTTAAGATGTACGCGGTCTTACCCCTACCCCTGGAAGGGCAGAGAGGCTGTTTCTCAATAAACATGAGCGTATCTTCCAAAAACAAATTGCAGCAGCCAGTGTTACAAGGAGCTCTTGTTTTATTTTTTATTTTTCATTCAATTGGTTTTCCTGCAAGTGGTGTTGCTAGTTGCTACAGGATTAACCACGACATAATGCCATGGTATCATAGTAAGAAAGTTACATTATCCTCCCTGCATTTTAGTCCACTAGACTATGGTAAGATTTCACTAGAGACTAAATGTGTATTCTGAAGCAAACAATAGCCTATCTGTATTTTATTTTTTTAGATCACCACGAAATCCCCAAGAGATAATGGTGCAAGGTTCGGAAACCGGTGGATAATGGGCCCACCCCTCAACCCTTTTTACTATCTCTCACTTTCTTTTCAAGAAACTTCTTGCACACTACCAAATTCCATCAGGAATTAGGTATAAGATCACACCCAAGTACAACTGACAGCATATTACAACCAAAACTGGGAAGAGATTAAGACAGGAAGGAAACAAAGGAAAATACAACAAATGGAAACAGTAAAACAAGAATCAACAAATTGAAACGAAATAATGGGAAGAGGAAGACCTTATCTACACCTAACCAGTCATGTTAAAAGCCTAACCAATTGGATCATGTGATCCCAATGGATATGAATAGCAATTCAACACAAACCGCAATCCCATCTGCTTAGGAGACAACATAAACAAGATTAAAATATCCCATCTAATGCCACCCACTATTAACCAGCAAATTCTATCATCATCAGTACTAACTTCTCCTTTTTCAATAACAGTGGTGTCCAGGCCTCATCACTACTAACTTATTAAAAGGCTTAATGCATGTACTAATGTGTTTATGCCTAAGTCTCCAATTATAGAAATAATAGTAGTATGTGGCAGACTGCATAGAACCTACATTGACACAGTACAGTCAGGAAAAAATTAAATAGAATTAGATTTGAAAATAGAATGTCACATATGCATTCATTTGAAAAACCATTTCCAGGTAAACAGATGCAAAACATACCAGCACTCTCAGTACTTTATTATCTCTTCCTCCAAGTGAATCAAGATACTGGAACTTTTCATCCTTCTTGTTGATGACAGCTAAACACCAATGTGTTTTTTGGTGGATAGGGACAAAAATCTAAGTAGATTAGGACATATCAATCAATATACAATAGACAACAAAACTAGAGTATGAATGAATGCTGATAATTCTTACTTTATCACATTCAAAGAGGCTGTACCCCAGCTTCCTTTGGGATGTCCATCTTTTCACAGATTGATAGTTATAGCCTCCCTTGCCACTGATTAACTGAAATTGCAGAAAATGTCCACAAGAACAATTAGCAGATGTAACCTTCTCCATGTAGGAAACTTAATATAAGAATTTCATACACAGTGATGTCACTTTGGAGTTGATAACACTATCTGACATAGCAACCTCGTCCACTGAGCAAGATGTGATGATATGCAGTAAAAGGATATTTCAGGGCACATGCTAGACATCTTACAGAGGCTATTGACAAGAAAATTACAAGACCAACTTGAGGGAGAAACCAGACAGTGTCAACCATCGGATCATTCACCATAGAGCACGCATTACTCAGATTGGAAACAAAGTTCTCTACAGAGATCAGCATAGCAGATAACAAATACTTATTAACAAATTGTGGCAAGAAAAAGTCGGTGATGAAATAATTGCAAATCATGATCCTTGCAGATTTCTTCACTGTGGAGACTAAAACACTATGTGATTTCTTTCTATATGTCCAAGACTTGGTGGATAAAGTTACCCGGTACCTGTTGCTAGTGGGAGGTAGCAGGTATACAGTGAAATTAGTCAAGGTGCGTGCAAGCTGGTCCGGACACCACGGTTATCAAAAAAATAAAAGAGAGAGAGAGAGAGAGAGAGAGTAGTCTGTGATAAAGAAGAGAAAACATGAACTTTCCTTCTCATCGAGGGAAAGGTTAAAGAGAAACAAGAGGAAACATGGTCATTGATACTCGGGTGTAATTTCATGTCAGAGCAGGCACTAGTTAGTACATTCCAATCAGCATCCTCATTTTTTCTAAGCTAGTGTTAGCGACAGCACAAAGAAGATGCTAAATATGTACATTCCAAGAGTCGTAAGGAGAGAAAACGAAAGAATTAAGAAAATCATTTTTCAACTAAGGAAAGAAACGATTAATGATCGAACATGCCAATCTATGCTTCGGGTATCCATGATTAAAGTGCAATTTTTCTTCTCCGAGTGAAGTGAAGAGCAGAATGGGTGAAAATATGGTTAGTAACTTCTATGTGTGTGTCTTATGTAAATCCATAATAGGTTGATACTCAACAACTTGCCAAACAAACTCCAATTCAAAAAGAAAAAGATAAAGGAAATAAGATTACCCCTTGCCATGAAAAACATTCATGGTATGAAAAGAAGACAAGTGACATAAACCTAGAAAGCTGATAAGCATAGAATGCAACCTAGGAAGCAACTGAATAACTTTGAAACTCAAAATTTTGAGCTTAAAGGCAAAGCACCGACCTTCTTGTAAAAGAATGTGTTAAAGAAATGACATCTCAAGAACTTTTGGGGCTCCCTTTTCTCTCTCTCTTTTAACAACTCAAGATACACATTAATCACCTGCAAAAGATGAAAACCTCGTCATTCCCTTGCTCCATTTCCATTACAGTATTTTCTATAACCACCAAAGCTAGGTAACTGGCATAAAGTAATACCTCATCATTCAACCATGCCCCAGGTCTCAAACACTGCAATATCTCTCCAGTAATATCTATATTGGAGTTTTCATGGGTTACCAAAACCTTCCTCCTGCAAAAATAAGTCCGCGAGAAAGGACAAACATATGAAGAAATTTCAATTTTGAAAATTGGAGCCTTTTGAAAAGAAAAATGAAGTTTAAATAAGTTATACCTGCTATAATTAGATAAAGCATGAGAAACTTCAGCCTCTTCCTCCTTATCAAGTTGCACAAAGGGTTCTGTAATCACATCCTGCAAGTAATTAAACCATACAACATAAGGACATAAGCGCTAATGCATACCAATGACATTATACACAAGGATCCAGTAATGCAGAGTTTTACACCGAAAATCTAACACTGTTTCAGTAATGCATATTTAGTAACGCAAAGATTTATACTGAACCAAATGCTGTATTAATAATGCTAGAGATTTATGCCTGGATTACTTTTGTTATATTGCAAAAGAAACGAGCCCTTAATGCATGCAAACGTCATTACAAAGAAAAAGGCTGCAGCAATATTACCTCCTTAACATATTGTTCATCTTTCTTTTGAGGCCTCAACAACTTATATGTTTCAAGAATTTTCTCAGTATACTCAATGTGAAACTGCAGGCTATTTAAACTATCATTTCTTTTCTCAGCTGAATCCAACAATTTCTTATACGAAGGAACAAAGGATGCTGATGAAGATGAATCATCAAACTTGCTACTACTCAAAGATAACGAGTCCATCATCTTTTCTGCATTCTCCACCTTCAACAAATTCACATCGTCATCGGACACTGTTACAACTGAAGAACTCTGAAGCTGCACATCCGTAACAACACCATCATCAGAATTATCCAATATTTCAATAATACCATCACTCTCCTTCCATCTCCCACCTGACCCATTAGAAAGACCCGTTTTTGCATTACTCTCCTTCCTTCTCTGACCCGACCCGTCAAAAAGACCCGTTTTTGGAACAACCCCAGTTCCCAATTCCTCAACATGTGAATCCCCATCATCATCATCAATGTTTATTAACACTTCTTTATCTTTTTTCTTCAAGTACCTTAAGGTTTTAATAGCGCTTCTTTTAGTTCTATATAACTGCTGAACTAAGAAATTCCCCATTATTGAGTGGGACCCACCTCCAAATCTTGAAGAAGATGGCCTTCTACAAGGAGCATGAATTTCCCTTTTAATGGGAGTGATAAAAGATGGGTATTTGATGAAAAGCCGTGTCGCTGTTGATGTTTTGGTGGGAAAAGAGTGGTGATCTAGCGTTGTTTGGTTCATAGAAAGCCTAGGTTTTTTGGAAATGTGAGGGTCAACGTTTGAAGCTGGGATTTTGTAATTCAAGGTGAAACAATCGTCACCGCGTTTTCGATAACTCGTTAAGGCCCCCATTGAAGTAGTAGAAATTTGCCAGGTTTTGCTGGATATTGCCGAATCATGTATGCATGGAATGGATGTTTACATAGTTGATTTGATTGGAAAAAAGGAAACAGAGGGAAATCCCAAAATACAAACGGCGGAAGTTCAATAAACAAAATACTCCTATGGCTATGATATTCAGAGAGGAAAAAGGGAAGAAGAATATGAGAGGGCGGGGTGAATTTCGACGAAATCACACGAAATTAATTGTATGGGGAAAGGGTTCTTGGGGATTTCGCGAATTGGGTGGGGAATTGGAGAAAACCTTTTTGCTGTTTTGGATTCTTCACTTTTTAGACCTTGTTTGTTCTACTACTAGAGCTCCAACAAATTATGCTACACTTATGTTTTTTTTTTTTTTTTTTGGGGTAGGGGGCAGGTTGTAAAAAAAAAAAAAAAAAAGAAATTTAGTGGGCGTTTGGACATAAGAATTGTAAAATTCCAAAATAGGGAAAAATGTTATGAAATATTATTTTATAATGGATATCTATAACTCCTAAAGAAATTATTCTCACTACTCTTCTCCATTATGTAGATAACTCTCACTACTTCTCACCATTATAATTGTAACTCTCACACCTCCATAACCTCCCCATGATATTTTCCCATGATCTCAATAGTTAATACCATGTTTATGATATCCCTTTGTATACCTCAATGTCATCCTATAAATAGAGGATTTGGACATCATATTGTACACACTTGAATACATGGAAGAAATAAGAATCTCTCCTCTCTTGCTCCCTACATTCTTGTCTATTTTCTTGTATTATATTATTACTTTGAGCTAAGTTTCTTAACACGTTATCAGCACGAATTGCTCATTTCATGATCTTCTACGTCAAGATTATGTGAATTATAAGCAGACTATGAGATTAAGTACAATAAAAAAAATTATTGGATGATAATGCAAAGATAAGTTTTTCATCCTTATAAACTCATTCACCCTTTCATATATTTGCATTAACTTTACGTGCAATATTTAGTTGAATTTTTTGAATTGTATCAAGCGATGAAATCAAGGAATCGGGAAGGTATGTCTTTAAATTATTTGCTACATCTCTTACCGGACAAGGATTCATTGTTCTAGAAAATGATGCTACGCTACTGTGCATGGACGTTGGAGTACCCGTGATCTTTTGATAGAAATGTCCATTCTATTAAATTTATTCGACATACAATTGCACAGATACTTGTTATTCATATATAATCACGAAGTGGTATTATTTTTAAAGGCTTGCTGGTAAATCTCTAGGCATTTTGGCCTATTATGCAATTAACTGAGGGTAAGACGGTGGGTTCAAGTCCCAACGCTCCACGAGAGCAAGACATCGGGTTTGAGTCCTGGTGCAACATGATGATAAGAGTTGGGTTCGAGTCCCAATGCATTATAGCCTTACATGCCTTTATATGGGTAAGGCGTTGAGTTTGAGTCTCAATGCACCATATTGATGATCTAATGATGACTAATGAAAATAATTTTTCATGACTGTATGCATGTACGAGGGCATGGCAAGCGACGAAATAATAGTTGTCATCACTATGGTAACTGTAAAAGGAGAACAATAAGGGTTCTCGAAGTAATCCTTCAATAGGTGAAGGAAATATTTACCATCAAATTGGTATGAAAAATTCATAAAGCACGTCGCGATAATTATACTCCATTCTTTGAAGAGAATGTGACTTGTGCATTGAGAATGCAGATTCATTCCTGAAGGTGAATGTAACAATATGTGATAAAAGTAATGAATAAAGACGTGCAATGCATGATTGGATATACACCACAACTCACCTCAAAGGGAGGTTTGAGAGAAAGAGAAATAATGAATATTATTGTGTGATTACATGAATATGTCATTGGTCGCATACATGTGGTACGCCAAAAATAATTTGACATGCCTTATAAAAGGTTATTAAAGGCAAAATTAAAGCAAGAAAAGATTTTGCTTATGATGATTTTGACCATGACAATTATTATGATAAGATAATTTTCTCTGTGGAGGAAAAATTCACCACTTGGATGGTGTTATAAAAAATCTTGTAGTGCAAAATTATTGAGAGCTCCAGAAGAGCGAATTTGTTACTGCCCGAATAAATAAAATTATTCATGGCATTGGTGGTAGTAAGTCTCAAAAGAAACTTTTTGAGTTTCAAATGTATTAGCCAAAGTGGTTGGCATATTGAGACTATAAATGAAAGGAAGATTGATTATCTTCATATTACTATAACATACCGGGTAAATATGAAAGGTTACCCGACTTTTCTTCTATTTGTACTACAGATGTATAAATATGATGATAGAATCACATGCCATAAGTAAACTAGAGGTTTATTGAAACAAATATTAGTTGGCATGACCGGTTGACCATTCCGGTTCAATTATGATGTGAAAATTGATTGAGAATTCACATTGGCATATATTAAAGAAATAGAAGATTCTTCAAGAATTCTCTTGTGTTGTTTTTTTCTCATGATATACCAGTTAAGGTTGGGATTGAATCCCTTGATATCTGGAATGAAAAAAAGGTGATATATATGTATGGGCTCAATCACCTGCCATCTGGACCTTTTACTATTATATGATTTTAATAGATGCATCTATTGTATGGTCACATGTGCGTTTGTTATCAACTTGCACTTTGGTTTGTGCAAGGTTGTTTACTCAAATTATTAGAGCACAGTTCCAAAATATATATTATGACCATTTATCTTGATAATGCTAGTTTAAATCCAAGTTGGTTTAGCAGAAATTGTATGCCTCCAATTATAGCTAAACCATTGGTTATGAGAACAAAATTGGCAAATAGAAATTTGGTATGAGGTATATTATTTAATATACAACAGCACTTGTACACATCTAGCCAACAAGTTATGATAAATTCTCCCCATCAAGTTATGATAAATTCTCCCCATCACAATTGGTTCACGGTTATTCCCATCTAGAAATATGGATGTGCTATATGATTTAATAGTCCTGCCACAATACACAAAGATAGGTTCCCAAAGAAGGTTGAAAAATGCGTTGGTGATCCTGACATTAGGGGGAGAAAATGGGCAGCTGAAAAAGTGATACATGAAATGAATTATTATGAATACATCTAGATCCTCGTACAAGAAAATGTGAACTTGAAGTTCAAGTGATAATTCATTTCTAAAATATTTCCAGGCACATTGCTGATCCAAAGCTAAATGTCACGACACCAACCGGCCCGGTCGTGATGGCGCCTCTCGTGAAGACAAGGCCAGCCAACCAACCCATTTCGCCTTTTCAAAATAGTTAAATATTGATTCACAGTTTTAACATAATTAAATAACCACAGTCTAAACAAAGATTTCTTTATTAAGTGCGGAATACAACCCAAACACAGCCCAAACCGGGGTGTCACAAGTCACGAGCATCTATAAGAGTGTAAATACAATTACAAGGTCTAAAAATACACTGAACAGGAATAATGATCAACAGAGAGAGAAGCGGTGCTGCGAACGCTGGCAGTCACCTCGCTAAACTCCTATAGCTCTGCTTCCAATCAGCCAAAACCCGCTACCGGGTGAATCAATACCTGCATCTGCACACGAGGTGCAGGGAGTAATGTGAGTACTCCAACCCAATAAGTAATAAGAGTAAATAAAGACTGAGCAGTAGGAAACAATGAATCCATATTTACGTTAGGCTCAATAAACACGACAGGCTTTCAAATCATAATACGAGTCAATCTTCCCTTTTAAAATCCAGCTTTTAGAAGAAAAAAAATCATTTTGAAATACTTCTAGCAATTTCAGTAGGGGTTCAACACCATTTAAAATAATAATAGAGATTTAAGCAATAATCGGCCCCTCGGGCAAAGCATAGTTCGTAAAACAGCCCCTCGGGCAAAACAGTAATCATAAGCGCTTCATAACTTGAAGATCTCAGTGGAAATAACCAATGCCAAATCAATGATTAATTTCTGAACATCTCATAAACCCCAGTTTAAGTAAAAGTTGTTTTAAAATATTTATTCAACTTACCGACAGAGGCTCAATATAAAGATGAGTGAAAGCAGTCAATAAATCAACATATTCGGTAGAAACTCACTTTAAAGAGAAGTGAAATCAATAAGTTCATAAACAGGCCTCTCAGGCCAACATCACTCATGTGCATGTATATATCTATCACCCCTCGAGCTAGCCTCTCTATCACTCGTGACTCAACTCTTACCCATCAGTACTCGTACTCAGCACTCACGCTCAATAGGTATCATATAGTAATCGTTGCGCGCGTGCAGCCCGATCTATATATCACTGCGGCGCGCAGCCCGATCCACATATATAGTCGACTGCGCTCACTGGGGGTGTGCAGACTCCGGAAGGGCACCTACAGCCCAAGCGCTATATCGCTGCAGCGTGCAGCCCGATCCATATAAGTATCGCTGCGGCGTGCAGCCCGATCCATATCCATATATATATGTATTGTTGCGGCGTGCAGCCCGATCCATAGATATATATAATCCTCACATCTAGGCCCTCAGCCTCTCTCAGTCATCAATCTCACACTCGGACCCTTGGTCTATCTCAGTAAAACAGGGAACTCAGCCCAACACAGTTTCCATATTTGTTTTTAAGAATATAGTAGTAAAGCCAGATTTGAGTGAATAGACAAGTAACACATGACTGAGGACATGCTTTCAAACAAATAAAGTGAGGAAAAATAGTAAAAGATGCCCCTAAGGGTCTCAATAAGTCGGCACAAGGCCCCAAACATGGCATACAGCCTAAGATATAATAGTATCAAACAATTAACTATCAAGTGCGCATTAAAATAATTGTTCGGGATGGACTAGGTCACAATCCCCAGCGGTGCTCTACCCCACGCTCGTCATCTAGCGTGTAAGTCACGTCAAAGTAACACAGCGATGTGTAATCCGGGGTTTCAAACCCTCAGAACAGCATTTACAATCATTACTTACCTCGAACCGGCGAAATCTCTAGCTCGTGACGCCTTTGCCCCTCAAATCGGCCTCCACGCGCGTTGAATCTATCCAAAATCAAAACGAATACGTCACAATATGCTAAGGGAACAAAACCCAAGCGAAAATAATTAATAACCGGCACAAATCCCGAAATTACCAAAACCCGAGCCCCGGGCCCACTTCTCGAAACTCAGAAATTTTCACATCAATAGATTCCTTATCTCCTCACGAGTTCATACATACCAAAAGTTCTCAAATCCGACCTCAAATGGTCCTTCAAATCCCTAAATCAAATTTCAAAATCTCAAGCCCTAGTTCTTCAATTTTAGGCTTAATTTCCATGAATTTCTAGGTGGATTTCACAATATAATCG